TCCTAGAGTCTGGAATGTCAATAACTTAAAGAAATTTTACCCCTAATAAAATTCTTTCAAGAGATCTATGTCTTGCTGTTCTTTACACTTCTCACTTCGTGTTAGTTAAGATTCATTTTACCTCTTATTCTATGTATCTAAGGTCAATCAGTTCATTTATTCCTTGAACCTCATTTTTGTTAATAAATGTCACTTCACATTTGAAGTGCTTTATCTTCCCTCAATTCATTTACAGTGATATATTTGGTATTAATTCACTTGAAGTGGTTTACTTCTCTAGAGTTCGTCTCTGAAGTGATTAACTTCTTTTTTATTAACTATCCTTTTTAAAGGTAGCCTCAGTTCTTCTATCAATATATAATAATAAGCAGGCAAACATAAATAAACACATAATTTCAAAAATGAATTTTCATTCAGAATAACATACATATTACAAACTGTTTAACTATCTTTACAAAAAATCAAAAAACAAAATTATTTCCCTGATGGGAGAGGTGGCTCCACTGGCTCCTGCTCAGCTAAAGGAGGTGGCTGAGTTGGCTGCTGCTCGTCCGGCAGAGGAGGCTGCTCATCGTCAGAAGGAACTGGATAAATCTCCACTTCTGGAACTGGTTGGACCTCACCCACTTCAGTTCCCTCCACTCATGCCTCCATCTCGTCCTCCTCTACCCCTGCCCCTTCTTCCTCCACTACAACGAACTCAAAGTCGAACTGTGGAGGAAAAACAGCAAGACCGTCTACATCATCCTCCCACCTCAGCTTAATCTGAGGACGGAAGTCTGCTGACATGCTCTCGCCATCCTCCTCCACTCCTCCTTCTTGCTCGCCGAAGGTGATCTTTGTCACATCCACTTTGGGATATTGAGCCTTCACCTTCTTTCTGCAGTCTGTGAAAGCGATGATGGCAGTGGGCAGCCGGTACAAGTTGACGATGCTATCAAAGGAGCTGGAACTGATGAAGTTGCTGATGTGCTCCTTCATCCCATTATGCACCAACTTCCGCATGTTCCCCTTCAACTCCTTGAATGCCTCCGTCATCAGCTTCATTTCTTGCGCCTGAGCCTCACGCTCGCTTTCAGCGATCCTTCGTTTGCTCTCCTCAAAAGTGAGCTTGGTGCTCAGGGAAGCCCTCTCCTGCTCCAACTGTGAAACGGTTGGAACCACCTCGTTCAGAGACTCTTGCAGCTCCTTATTTTTCTTCTCCAACTCCTCCTTCTCTTTCTGCAGCTGGTCCCGCTGCCTCTACAAGAGCGCGTGATCCTTCAGGCTCTCCCTGAATTCCTAGGCTAGACCATTCACCCAGCTCGCGCTCTGCAGATCAAAACTGAAGTTAAAAAAGAACGAAGAGAAGGCGAAACAAGTTTACTGCACAACACCAATGCTTTAACTTACCTCTAGAACATGCTTCACCACGGACGCTCCACCATACCTCAGAGCTTCCTCCCGCGCGTTGCTTTGGTCCACCTCGGGGAAGGTGTTGTTGATGAACCACCTAGCCCCCGTTATGTTCTTCGCCTCGAACAGGCTGCTCTGAGGCCCTAGTGGGGGAATAAGGCCCTTTCCCTTACCAGGAGCTCGTACCTCAGCCCCTTCCTCCAACTGTCTGAGCTCAGGGTCCAGCTCAACAGGAGAAGGCTGAGGTACGAACACAGGGACCTCATTCCCCGTCTCCTCCTCCACCACCCTCTGCTTCTTCTGCAGCGTCCTCCACTCCTCCCAGCCCTTCCTTTTCAGCTGTGGCACCTCCTCCTCCGTCTTAGCTGAAGCCGCAAGCACTGCCTCTTTCCTGGTCCTCCCCTCATCCACTTGTTTGGTTGAAGTCTTTGACTTCTTCCTTGGCTTCTTGGGGATGGCCGCTCCTCCAGCAGTGTTCAAGAACTGGTCCATTTCAGCTGCAAAGCAAGAATACACAATATCAATCACAGTTCTATACTCTACATTACTCTACATTCAGTACTACAATGCAGAACTAAACCAACCTTCACTCAAAGCGCTTGGCCCCATAGAGCTCAGCAGCCTCTATGCATTGCGCACTGGTGAGGTCCAAAATGTTTAATAAATCCTCCCCCTTCCTCACCAACCTCCCCACTTATTCCTCCTCATCCTCATTTAAGCTAAACCTATTCTGGTTGGCCCTTTTGGCCTTCCAGGAGACTAACTCCCTCACCTCGGCATCCCCTTTTCCCCACTCCATATCATCTACAAAAAAGAATTTCTCCTTCCATCCTTTAATGGATGAAGGACTCGCCGTAAACAACAACCTACTCTCCTTACTAGCTACCCTCGGGGTGAAATAATACCACCCCTTATCTCTCTTACTACCCCCCTTTAAAACAAAAAAATACTTAAACATATTTACAGTTGGCACGCTAATCCCCTGAGCTCGGCAATAGACTAAAAATCCTATTATTACCCTCATTGCGTTGGGGACCAACTGTGTCAACCCTATGTTGTAA